AGGAAAAGTCATCAAAGGTGACAGAAATCAGCTCTGGTGTTGGGCTACAAATCCATCTTGAGCTGGCTTTGAACTCCCTGTGAACTAAAAGGGAGTTTCATACAAGAAACTCCATTTGTTGCTTTAAAGTTGACTTTGCTGGGAAAAATAGTTTGCCCAGGGATCTGGAGACAGAGGCGGGTTTATTTAAGTGTATCTCCAGTCCCAGGTTCCAGATACAACCCCCCAGCAGCTGGTTCCTCATGCTCAGCCAGCACAGGTGGAAATGATGCTTAGGACTTCTGTTCTTCTGACTACACAAGAAACTTTGAAGTGGGCTTCCCCTGGCTGAGATTTTCTTGCTAGGTGTGAGGACTAAATAATATTTTAAACTAGAACAAGGAGTCTGGAAAGGTTGGTGCAGGACCTTTTTCTTATCTTTTTTTAGACAAAACATCATAACCAGTGTTGATGTTGACAGAATCAGGGTTTTTGGCTCACTGACACATTTATCCAGCCTCTTCACCCTGCACGTGATATTGTTCATAAGGATAATGTCCTTTGTTTCTGTTTATAATAATAATAAAAATATAAATAAACAAAACAAAAATCAAGATATAAATAATAAAAATATAAAAAATGTTATAGTTAGTATTGCAGGAAGAGTCTCAGTCTGGTGTTCTGTTCTGCCATAATACACGGCCTCACATCCAAGACCAGTATGAATTTTTTACCTACTGAGCATCCCTTACTAAGTAGCAATTAATTAGTCCTGAGAGTGCCCCAGACAGGCAATTTGCAGTGACTCCTTAATAGCAGAGGGGGAAAGGGAGAGGTTGTTGCTGATGAGACATGCTGCAGATGAGTACCAAGGTGAGGGATGGAAACGGCAACTTCTGATTGTTACTGTTAGCATCGGTGTCCCAAGCAGCATATCACTGAGCAGGAATACACTGGATAATAAACCCTTTTTATTAATTTTTTTTTTTTGACACAGCCACAGGCGAGGATCCGGCTGTCAAAGCCACGTCTCCACACGGAGACACTGAGATGCTCCCTCTCCTCCTCTGCTTGCAGGGAGCTGGACTCTGCCATGCTGCGGCGGCTGGAGAAGAGGATCCTGGTGGACCTGCCAAGCCAAGAGGCACGGAGGGTGATGATCCAGCACTGGCTGCCCCCTCTGAGCAGCAGCAGCGGCGTGAAGCTCAGGACAGATCTGGACTACAGCCTGCTGAGCCAGGTGGGCTCTGCTGCAGCTGCTCCTGGGCCACGGTGGTGACCGAGGGCTGGGACAGTGATCAGTGTCACACACAGAGCTGGGCACGCACCTCAGCTCAGCTGGGGTGCAGCCAGAGGGACACTGCTGGGACATGGGGCTGAGCATGGAATACACACTCACACATGGGAATCACACCTCAGCTCAGCTGGGGTGCAGCCAGAGGGACATTGCTGGGATGTGGGGCTGAGCATGGCACACGCTTGTGGGAATCACTGGTTTCACACAGTTCTGCCTGCAAAATGGTGTGTTCTGGTCCTCTCTGCTGGGCCAGCTTTCCAGCCTTAAATACAGAGAGACTTCCAGCAACAGCAGATTTTATCACTGTTCTCACCAAGCTGGGAGCACTTCAATTCATCGGGGTAATGAACAGTTAATTGTGTAGGGGAGGTTTGTCACAGCTCCACTGCTGCAGCAGAAGAGAGCATTTGACAGCAAAGAGATTCACTAGGTACCTCAGCTTCCTTCATGTGTCCCTTTGTCACATCCTGGACTCTGGAAATAGAATCCTAGAATGGTTTGGGTTGCAGGGGACTTCAAAAATCCTCTTGTTCCAAACTCCAGCTATAAGCAGGAGCACCTTCAATTAGCCCAAGTTGCTCAAGGTCCCAGCCTTGTGCTGGTTTTGTATTAGAATATATATTTAAGTATTTTAGTTTACCCAGTTGAGATTCTTACATCTGTTTACAGAGACAATACAGCTCAGTTCTCGGTTTATAAGGAAATTCATTTATTTTATTAACAGGAAAGCTGAGGATGGACTCAGGTGGGTTTTATTTGACCTACAGAAAACTGGCATTTAGTAAGGAAATGCCCAGTGTTTTCCTTAGTCCTATGAGGTATTGTAGGCATTCAAAGAATAACAAGCTACATAATTTTGAGGGGATGGTACAAAAAAAAATAAATTTAGTGTGTGTTTCTATGTGTTTATAAACATTTATTTCAGACAGCAATAGAATTCACAAATTTTTATATAAATACAAACACAATATATATGCCTGTAAATTCCATTTCTGTCTGATTTGTGAGCTGTAATGTATCATTCTGATCCCATCACAGGAAACAAATGGATACTCTGGCTCAGACATAAAACTCGTATGCAAGGAGGCAGCCATGAGACCAGTGAGGAAAATTTTCGATGCTCTTGAAAATCATCAGCCAGGTACCTCTCAGCAGAGAATCTGGGAAGTGCTGATTTCCTGATGTAATTCTTGGAATGAACATTCTAACCCCAGCAGGTGGAGCTCTGATATCTGCCTGGAAAAGTTTTAAACTACAGTTCCAAACTCTCTAAATTTCTAAACATTGGGGCTTCTTTTAGAGCTGTCATTATCTGTGCTCTCAGCATAAGTACAATTTTTAATTGATCTCACTACATTTAGTCTGTTGTTTTCCTACATTAAGTGTTGGACTAGGCATGGATATAAAAGAGTGTCTTTTGGTAATAGTAACAGGATTTACTAAATTTTGTCTTTAGGTAACAGTAACTTGCACATGATCCAACTGGACACAATCACAACAGCCGATTTCCTGGATGTGATCACCCACACCAAGCCATCAGCAAAGAATCTAAGCCAGAAGTACACGGCTTGGCAGAGGGAATTTGAGTCAGTCTGACAGAGAGAAAACAAACCAACCCCAAAATCAAAAACCTCCAAGCCATTTGCCACCCAAAGTGGCCTCCAAAGGATCAAGTGGTGATGGGGAAAGAAGTGTTGTTGTTTCAAGGCACAAAATGCTGTGACAAGTGTCAGAGGGAAATCTTTACTTTCACAATGCAAGGGTGGGTGAAGGGGTGGTGGTTATTCTTTATTCAAAAAAGTTCCTCTTTGAATTAATGTGATGGCAGCTCCTATGCAACAACGCCTCCAGCCTTAATTTTATTTATAAAGACTTAAAAGAGTGATTGATTCTCAGTCTTTATTCATGACAGATTTTGGGTAGAACTGGAGCAAAGTTTAAAAGCAGATAGACAATTAGTGTAATTCTCCATTTCTGACATTCCATAGAGCATCACAGTCAGTGTAGCTTTCCCAGCAAAGACGTGCACCTTCCTTAATGAAACACGAAATATGAGTTTTCAGTGAAATTCACAACCTTAGCAAGAAATGTAAATTTGGCTAATTTGTCACTATTTTCAGCTGAGTTTAAAGCCTTGATGTGTATTACTTTCCTGTTGGTTTCGCGTATTCCAAGGTGAAAAAGGCAAGGAATTAGAGAAAAACTGCAGAAAATCAGCAAATTTAGGATAATTAACTAGAAGCTATATTGGTGGCTACCCACTGGTTTGCAGCCAGCCATAAAACAGAAAAATCCCACAGTGCATCAGGTTAGAGGGGTCCAGAGGGGGTCACATCTGACCCCACGTCCGTGCTCCAGCAGGGCCATCCCAGAGCACAGGGCACAGGATTGTGTCCTGAGGGCTCTGGAATATCCCCAGTGAGGGAGACTCCACCCCAGGGCAGAGTTTGTGTCTCCTGTGCAGGGGGAATCGCTGGGCTCAGCCCCTGCCCGTGGCTCTGGTGCCATGGCTGGGCTGTGCCTGGAGCAGAGCCTGGGCCCTGCCCTGACCCTGCCTGAACTCAGGGACACCCAGGGACACGCAGGGCTCAGGGCCCCTCTCACAATCCCGAACAGCCCCAGCTCCCCCAGCCTTTCCTGGACAGGGAGATGCTCCAGAGGTCCTTCCTCAGGTGTGTCACCCTCCCCTGCCCCGTGGATGCTGCAGTGAGCTGTGCAGGGCAGTGCCAAACCTCCCCCACTCTGGACTGTCCTGCTCACACACACGGCCAGGTGAGCAGCCAGCACTACCACACGTCCTGCAGTCTTCTCATCAGAAATTCCAACACTTCCACCATTTTTTCAGGCTCCAGGTCCTATCACTGCCCTCTCTCACCCTCCTCCTTGCTCAGCAAGACACCTCCCCTCCATGCAGTTCTTCCTCTGTTTCCCTTGGGCTGGTGTATGTCTTCATTCCAACCACCAGGGTTGTGCATGCTTTCCAGCACATTCCAGGACCTCTGAGGCACTGACAGTCCCTTTTAATTCCTGCAGCAGTCACACGTTATTGGAAGTCTCCAAGGGAAATGTCTTCACAGGATTTTGCTGATACATCTCCCACCTCCTGCACCTGACTCTCACCCCAGGCCACAGACCTCCCTTACATCCTTCCAAGCAGAAACCAACAGGTTCAGAACTGCTGGCACAAAATCCAGGTGTGTGAATTCATGCAAAACTGAAGCTGGCAGTACAAGGGCCCACAGACATTATCTAAAGATAGCTTCTCTTCCTCAGAGGTCTCTTCTCCCAGGCAGAAAGTGACATGATGAGAGGAAACAACCTTAAGTAGCACTGGGGGAGGTTCAGGTTGGATATTTGGAATTATTTCTTCTTGGGAAAGATTGTCCAGCCCTGGCACAGCTGCCCAGGGCAATGGTGCAGTCCCCATCCCTGGAGAGATTTAAAAGCTGTGTGGATGTGGCACTTGGGGACATGGATCAGTGGTGACCTGGGCAGTGCTGGGAATGGTTGGACTCCATGATCTTAGACAACTTTTCCAGCCTAAATCATTCTGTGATTTATTCTTGTGTTTCTACTGCAAAATCTCCTCCATCCACCCATTCTGTTCCTGACAGAAACTAAATCTGAACATAGTAACCACCCACCAAGGGAGGCTGCAGAGAGACACTGTCACATGTGAGGAATTCATTCATCACCATGGTTTTGTTTAACAAGAACGAGCATGGCTCATTAACACAAAACTGTATTTTCAATAAGGTTAATACTCCAGTAATGCATAATTACAATCTAATAATTTAACACACAGGAGCACTGTAAAACAACTGTAAAGGACTTTGATTATTACGGTTTGCAAATGGACCAGAAAAGCCATTTACCATCATTACAAAGTTGGTTCATATTGGGGGATGTAGTGCATAGGAAAAGCATTGCACGCTACAGAATTAAATTTCATTTTACAGCTCTACTAACCAACTGTAAAAACTGGAATCTGTCCCCATGGCTTGTGAAGGATTTTTTCCATAACATTAAAAAGAAACAAAAAGATCCCCAACAACAGTGAAATTTTGCAACTGTAGCATTAATAGGACCCTGCTGAAGCCTAATTTTAAAAAGTCACAGTCTCTAAGGCATTTAATACCAGAGTTTTGTTTCTGTATCATTCTTTTTAATAACGGCATCTAATTAAAACATCTGTAAAATGCTGACAGTTTTTTAATTTTATGTAAAATTCGAAAAGCAAATAACAGGATCTGCTCTAATGAAAGACAGCCACAGTAGTTATTATTAAACAATGGTGATATTTTCATTTAAGAGTCACTTCTAAATGTGCATAATCTCTACCTTTAGGTCAGAGCACAGCACAGATGTCAGTGAAATCACCACAGGCCCACTGAGGCTCTGTTGGTGTTTGAGCTTTACTTACTTGAGTGTTTTCAGTGCATGTTTTCAGTTTAACTTATTCTGCAGAAGGTGACGCTTTCCAGACAGGGCTTTTCATCAGGTATTCTTTGAAAAGTGAAAGAAAGAAAACACTGCCACGTTCCCTGTGTGTGTGACTGTGCTGGGCCCACACGGATCCCCTGCCCCTCACAGCCCAGGGTGGTTTCTGATGGATGCCACACATGCACTGATCTTGGGACCTTATTTTTTGAAGCAAGAATGAAGGAAATGGTGTGAACAGATGTTTCTTCAAGCTAGCTGTTCCTTTTCTCACAGCATCTGCTTCAGGATATGTTCCACTGCCTCTGGGAAATTCTCACAGGTTAAGTAGGGAGCCGGGTTGATTTTGTTTTCATCTGCTGGACGGTATTTACCTGTGAAGGATTTACACAAGGATGCCTTTACCAGACTCTTCTGAGTACCGTTTTTTCCCCCTTCCCTGAAAATTACATCCTTGTCATAGCAGTACCAACACGGAAAATGCCCATCTGGGCAAAAAACATCCCACGAGGCTTTCCTGAACAAATGCTGAGCCCTACTGGAGATTCATTCTGCCAGGGGCAGCTCTGGATCAAAACCAGTGTTAATTGCACTGGTTCACTCTGCTGTACTGGCAAATGTCTATGTTGTAGGTTCTTAAAGCAATAATAATCACAGAATCCCAGAATGGTTTGGATTGTAAGAGACCTTAAAGCTCCAGTGCCACCCTCTAGCATGAGCAGGGACACCTTCCACTGTCCCAGGTTGTTACAAGTCTTGTCCAGTCTGGCCTTGGGCACTGCCAGGGATCCAGGGGCAGCCACAGCTGCTCTGGGCACCCTGTGCCAGGGCCTGCCCACCCTCACAGGGAAGAATTTCTTCCTAAAAATCTCTAACCTAAATTTCATGTCTTTTATTTTGAACCCAATACTCTCTGTTCTATCACTACAGTTCCTGATGAAGAGTGCCTCTCTGAAGACTCTTTGAACAAAGGAGGATTACTTCCTTTCATTTTCAACATACCACCCTGTGTGGAATGAGCAGCTGCCACCTCAAAGAGACCTTACCCAGTCCATGGGTCCATCAACAACACAAACAATACCTGCCAATTCCTCCAGGTTCCACTTCCATACAAAGCAAAATTACATTTATAACGACCTCTGTAATTATTGAGGAATGCCATGATCAGAGGTTACATTGTGACTGATTTTGGCAATCTCAGGTGTAACAGTTCCCTCTGTTCTGTGATTACTGTTCTAGATTTTTGAGACAGCAGAAATTCACACCTACAAGAGCAGCTGTCCCCATGTATGACTCTGGTCACTCTGCCATCAGCTGGGGGTCTGTGCTGTGCTCCAGCCCTGTTCTTACAATGTTCTGCTTGACAGACGCTGCCTCTGCACCTCCCCAGCACGGATGTGCAAGGTGGGCTGGCACACAGCAGCAGGGCGGCCCCAGGGCTCAGAGGACCTTCACTTTTGGGCAGAGTGGGATCCCTGAAGACACCACGGTCTCCTGAAATGACAAATCCATCAAGTACTTACCCGTCCTTACCAAAATCCCACGCATTCCTGCCTGCTGGGCACCACCAACATCATCCCTGCAGTCCTGGAACACGGCAGGAGAGCAGTGGGTTAGAGAGCACAGACACTTCCATAACCTTTTTTTGCTTTGCACGTCACTTAAAAGCAGCAACACGGAGCCAGATCTTTCAGGTGCCCCATTGGTCACAGGAGTGGTTTTCTATGTGCTCTCTGCCTGATCAAATAGTGACTGAAGCAAGAGAAAAAACCCCATGGATTACATAGTAAATCCTGTGAAATTTCATCTAATTGTTTAGGTTGGAAAGCCCCTCTAAGAGCATTAAGTCCAACCATTCCCCTAGCACTGCCCAGCTCACCACTAACCCATGCCTTCAAATCCACACAGCTTTTAAACCCCTCCAGGGATGGGGACCCCACCAATGCCCTGGGAAGCTGTGCCAGTGCTCAAAATCCTATTTCATGAAGAATTTTTCTCTAATATCCCATCTAAACCTCCCCTGGCCCAGCCTGAGGCCGTTCCCTTTCCTCCTGTCCCTGTTCCCTGGGATAAGATCCCAAATCCCCCCTGGCTGTCCCCTCCTGTCAGGGAGTTGTGCAGAGCCACAAGGTCCCCCCTGAGCCTCCTTTTCTCCAGGCTGAGCCCCTTTCCAGCTCCCTCAGCCTCTCCTGGGGCTCCAGCCCCTTCCCCAGCTCCGTTCTCTCTCTAGAAATGACAGTTCCATCCTTTGTAATCCCCCTTTGCAGGCCCTGGGTTTGTGCCCACGTACATCTCCAATCATGACAGCCTCCTCGGGGGCACAGCCAGTGCCCCGCAGAGCCTCCAGGAAGAAAGTCTTCTCTGGCTTCCCCACCACGGTGGCTTTGGTGTCTGTGGCATACTCCAGCCCTGCCACAAAAGGTCCAGGTCCCAGACACAGCCCATCCTTCTTCTTGAAATACCTGGCTTTATGGATTGCTATGAGAGGCGCCCCCTCCAAAATCAACCTAGAGAATGAATGAATAAAGAAGAGAGTACAAAAATCGTATCAAAGGAATTATATTTACAACTGAGGGCCTCAAGTGGCTTTCACACAATTTCAGGATGGTTTGGGTTGGAAACGATCTCAAAGCTCATTCAGTGCCACCCCCGTGGGCAGGGACACCTTCACTATCCCAGGTTGTTCCAAGCCCTGTCCAACCTGGCCTTGGACACTGCCAGGGATCCAGGGCCTGCCCACGCTCACAGAGAAGACTTTCTTACAGGTACAGGATTAATCACTTGACCTTAACTTTATATTTTAGCACTGAAGGAGTTACAGTAACAAGTTACATTAAAAAAAACTCAAAGCCCTTTGACACATTCACATCCCTCTGAATTTCCTCCTTAACCCTGGGAGTTTGGGCAGGCTCACTTGCACAGAACCTGCACCTCATCTTTTGATCCTCACATTTCTGTTGTGTGCCCTGCAGATTTTCCTTGCAGCAGACACTGCATCCCCCTGTCCTGCAGCAAAGGGAAGCTGTGTAGGTGCTGCACTAAGGAATGCTCCTGCTCCACCAAGCACAGCAATATTATAGCAGTCCTCCCCTCCTTAGTTTCAGTGCAACAAGAACCCTCCAGACAGCATCTGGTCTGCCAAACATTTTCCCTTTGATTTTACACTTTCCCCAGGTAATGCAGGTCATTCCAATCTTTATCACAACAGTGTAAAACACTGGCTGTTATGCTCAAGGCAGAAAGGAGGATTAATTTTCTCCTTAACCCCTGATTAATAAAAGAAAACAAAACAAAAGCCTTTAAGAAAACAAAGTCTTGCTTTGCCCCTGTTGTAAGAGGCTGGCTGAGGTGAGCTGGATTCGCCTTGGAGGATGTCTGCCGAGCAGCCTGGAAGCTCTGAGCAGGACATAAATGACATTTCATTTCACTTAATTATCACAAAACACTCCTATTGAATCGATGCATTCCAAAGCAAGCTGAACAAGAAGAGAGCTGGGTTATGTTTCTGTGAGCAGCCAGACATGTTCACGATGGGAGGATGCCTCTAGGACACAGAAAAATTTAATTTGACAGCATCACCACAGCCACTACCTTCAGCAGTTTGCAGGAGAGATCTCACCTGAGAGAATTCTTTTAAACATGGCATCAAAATCCCACTTATACAGGAAGAGAAATTTAGTCTCAGTCATTTCAAGTGGTGCCTGGAGAATGGCCAGACTCTGTATATCTCCTTTTGGGACTCATGTTGGGTTAGATTTACCTGAGTTAATGTTGGGTGTCAGTGGAATAGTTGCCTACCACATAATTAGTCAGCCTGGGCTCCTCACAGTCGGTGCAGAGGAAAAGGCACTCCTAGGGCACAGTTCAACTGTCCTATTTTAAGCACTATCAGGTAAAAAAATGCCCTGAAGTGCCTCCCTTATCCCTCCAGAGCCCAGACCACCAGGAATCTGCATTTAGATACCTGCATTTAATCAGATACACCTCAGAGTTCTGCAATCCCAATGCAATTCCATTTTCAATGCAAATCCCAAGTGGCTTAATTATCTGAGCAGTAAAGGAGAAGGAATAGGGCAGGGCTCGACAAGAAGAGAATGTGCCAGTGGTCAGTGTTTCCATCAGGCCTAACAGACCTGACACCTGCAAAAGTTTATCTCCTATAGAGGACTGGGGTAAACACCCAGAATAAATCAGTGAGCTGTTACATGTCAGACAGAGCCCATCCTGTTTTTCTTAAGTGTCCTGGTCTTCAGCTTGAAGCAAAGAATGGATATTATTCAACAACTAATATATTCAGGACAGAAATACAAATCAATAAAATGATGTAAGCTCTGTGATACTTAATGGGTTAAGCTCATGCAGTTGTGAAATTAAGAGTCTGCTCATGACCCAAAGTAAAACTCCAAAATCAATGCCTTTGGCAAGGTGCACTAGTGAGGCAGACAGGGTCATTTTGGGTCAACATCTGTTGATCCAACACAGAATTGGCAGCAGATGAAGACAGCATTGCCCTCCTACTGCAAGAAACCACCTCTTGGAGAAGAGGAAACAGCCTCAAGCTGTGCCAGGACAGGTACAGGCTGGACATGAGGAGGAATTTCTCCATGGAAAGGGTGCTCAGGCATTGGAGCTGCCCAGGAAGATGTTGGAGTCCCCATCCCTGGAGGTGTCCAAGGAAGGCCTGGATGTGGCACTGAGTGCTCTGGGCTGGTGACAAGGTGGGGATTGGTCACAGCTTGGACTCCATGGGCTTGGAGCTCTTTTCCAACCCAAATAATTCTGTGAATGCTTCTCCACATCGTTGGTTTTGTGTATTCCCCCTTGATGAATTGCTGACTTTTCCCCTCAGTGACAGCTGTGACTTCTCCCCTTCATTTAGACTGAAAGCTGTAAAACTGAGGTCTGAACTGCCTGAAATTCCTGGTGAAGAACCCAAGCCCACCAAGATTATATTATATTATGTGTGATATTCCCACCAGCCTTTTCTTCCCAGAAAGAGAGCCCAGCACAAGACAGCCCCACTCCAGCCCCTGCCAGGAGCTGCCTTACCGAAAGGCTCTGTTCATCATCTCGTAGTGGAAGTGCTCAGGAGCCAGTCCCACCACCACTGCATTGGGGTTATCTGTGCCAATCCCTGGGAAATCAGAACAAGACTGAGCAGACAGGATTTAATTCACACTTAGCAGCCCACACAGTCAGCAAAGTGCATTTAATCACTTTAAGGCAAAAAACAAGCATGTTCTGACACAGTCATATCACAGAGACTGTTTTTATGTCTTTTATAGACAAAGAAAGCAAAAGCAAAAGGTGCTGGTCTATCCAGACTGTTCCATCCTCCAGGAGACTTTGGGATGATTCTGTCACAGTTCCCACTGAAATGCAGCAGGACACAAAAATCCCTCTCTTAATTGAATTACTGCTTACCATCTGAGAATCCCTCTCTACATATATTTACGTGCTTTTGAAGATAGTAAAGCAGGATTTCAAATGAATCCCATCCAGCTTTTCTATTCCCTCTAGTCACAGGAAACTCCACTGACTGTTGTTCCACACATGAGTCTAATTCTGACAATAAAAGTGGCACTGCAGCATGGCCCAGAAGTTGTTACCCTAGACTAATTTAGGCTTTTCTGGAAGAAAATCTACATTTTTCAATGTAGATTAGTGCCCTTGGGAACAGCTCCACTGCAGTCCCACCCCTGGACAGAACCAGCAGTGGAAGCAGAGCAGCACCAGCAGGAGAGATTTACTAATGGCACATTACCAGCTGCATCCTGCACTCACTGAGCATTTTGTTTCACCTTCAAACACAATCTCTGTACTTTTACCAGGACAACTAGAGCTCCTGGCTGGCTCTGCTGGCTGAGGTCTCCTGCTGCATGTCCCTCAGGTGGTTCAGCCAGCAAAATATCCTTGTTTCCAAAACAGCATGGCACTCAGAGGTGCCACGGTGGATTTGTGACACCACCTAGAAGCATCTGAGTCCTTAAAACAGGAAAGGATTACTTCATCTGCCTGTGACCAACTTTAATAGAGAGACTAGCCAAGAACAGCTCAATAGCAGCTATTAACAGAAATTTAAAGGACTCTCCACTGTACTTGTATGTTCCAAGAGCAGCACTAAGGAAATGTAAGCCAAAGCCCTTGTAGCAAAAACAAACCAAACAACCCATTCCAGACCCAAGCAGTACAGATAATGCATCAACATGCCCCCATGATACCTCCGTCTGTGCCATCTTTTACAAAATTAGCATCAGCTCCTAAGAAACTGATGGAAAGATCCCAAAACCACGGAGACTCAGCTGATTGAAATGCTGTCAGTGAAAAAGCTGCTGCCTCTGCTGTTTCTCCCCCGGGAAAGCCTTCCCAGGAGCACAAATACAGAATATTGCTGGGAGCACATTTCTCTGGGTATGGTGTTAGGTAGAACAGATTCCCAGGTTTCATTGCTCTCACAGAGGCTTTTCTCCTGAAACATTGACCTCTCTGAAGATTTCTGACCAGACTGTGGCACCAAAATTTAACAGGAAATTCACAGATCCTGGCAAGATTAGAACCCACTTAAATTATACAGCCAAAAGATTTCAGTTTGTAAGGCAAGGGCAGGGCAAGCCATCCATACTTCTGCCACCTTGACTTTAAATAAAAATTTTTGAGTGTACAGTACACAGTTTTCAACACTGAGTATGTTAAAAATGTGGGTATCTTTGTTACTCTTGATGTCCAAGAGAGAACACATCATTTTGCTGCTCCCCTTACTGCTGAGAGAGGGAAATGTGAGCATCTGAAAGCAAAGCAAGTTTTAACCAGGTCTTTAGGGACGACAATTTAGAGGAGTCACGGCAATGAACCTTCTGTCACCAGTAAAGGTACGTGGGGTGAAACCTAAATGTTCAACATAAGATAAGCAATAATTGCCTAGAGATTTTGCATTTAATAATAACAATCTATTAACAGAGAAACAGCCTGCTGTGTGTGCCTACACACTGGCTTTTCAGCTCTTTATGAGTAAAATCTCTGCTGGAAATCATGTATTGCACAAATTGACACATCTCTGCTGTAAAAAAAATCAGCGCTGCTGTAGGTCCCATAAAGTGCCAATGACTTGGTAGCAACTTTTACCTCATATTGTAATGAATGGGAAGTACTGGGTTTTACCTGAATTCCTGACTATGTGAAGGCCTTGGCTGCCATTCCCACTGCTCCTCAAGAAGATACAAGTTCAGGCTGTCTGATTTAAAATGAAGAAAGGACCTTTACGACCCTGCAAAATTCCACACTTCAGGCTCCACCGTGGCCAGCGGTCTATACTGATGGAGACACAAGCTTAGCTGCTCATTAACTGCTGTTAATTAGCTGCTTCCTGAGCACCTCACCTGCGAAATCAGGCAGGGCTTTATCATCCACCAGGAGCAGGGGCCGCACCTGCTGCTGCTCCAGGAGGTTCCTGGCTGCTGTCAGCGAGGTGAAGATCTCTTGCTCGGCGATGTCGAAGCCCAGCCCCGTCAGCCTCTCCAGCAGGTCCCTCTTGCTCTCCTTGGTGGTGTTGGTGACAAAGCGGACGGTCAGCGGGGCACTGCGCAGCCTGGGGGGCACAGAGGGGCACACTGCACACAGGCTCCTCCTGCTCCCACATCTCTGCTTCTCTCCGGGGTTAAAAACACCCTAAAGGCTGGGGAAACACCACACGGAGGACGGGTGCCGCGCGAAAAAAGTTCTGTGATGGGGAGCAGGCAGCAAGAATTACACCTCCCAGACCAAGACAAGTCATCCTCCCCTCCTCTCCCTCATTTACCACAAAAAATTCCTGAGGAAAACAGTGATTCCAGCTCCCTCTTCACAGCAGCAGCCAGCACGTCTATGATAACCAATCTGAAAAGCCTTTTTATTCAAACTACACAAGTAAGTCAGTCCCGCTTCTTGATCAAAATAAGCAAACAAAAGAAGCTTGGTGCTAAATTAGTATATTTAACTCTACTGCTGGGTGAATTTCCCAGCAGCTGTGGCTCGTTCAGGATGTTCCAGGAGCCTGTGTTACCTTGGTGGTGGTTTTATGTCAGCTTCTGTAGCCATTTCCCCCCTTTCCTGAGGAACACCAGTATCACATAAAACCACATTATTGCCCTGTGCTGACAGTAAATGCTACCGAACAATCAAATAATTTTAAGTGACAGTTTCAACAGTGTTCCCTTTAATTATTCCCCTACCATCACTTTCTCTGTTGCTATAGGAACAAACACAGGCACCAGGACTGTGTGGAGAACATCAGAACAAAGTTGGAGACTTGCTTGCACCTGCCACCTCCTTCTCCTGTTTATCTCTTGTTTCACACTGATCCTTCACAGGTAAGAGCTGGTAAGAAAGCCCTCTGGTTCATAATAAAATACAAATTAATATGATTTTCCCCTCTGGGCCTCAATAGGGAATATGAACACAGTAACCCTAAAACTGCCATCTCTCCATTTGTTCCCTAAGCGAGCTGCATGCCATTCCTTCCAGCTTCTCTTTGGGAAGTTCAGGGACATGAACTGGCAGAAAAGAGGGTGGGATAAAAATTTTTTTCAAACCTCTGAGACCTGGCTGCTCTCTGACACCTGCTCTCCATACCTGTGGCAGCACATATATATAATATGGATTTTCAAGAACATTGACTCTCACCAATTGTCCCTGCAGCAGGAACCACGGTGCAGGGAGTGAGTACCCAGTGTTTTGTCAGCTTTTATTTTCTTGCAATTCTACATCTTAAGGACATAATAATTTCCATGGCATTACCTGTGGGAAATGCAGCTTCCTAATCCCTATGGGAACCTTTCCTCTGAGCAACAGCCCAGCTGTATAAAACCCTTAGCAGCCCATTCAGCTCCAGTAAAGAGTTCAGTTCTGCTCCTATATCCTGATTAATCTTTAGTGCCCCAGAATCTTAAAGTGTCCTCCTTCATTCACTACAATATCACCTATCACCCTGGGATTTTTCCTTGTCCATTGCAAGGTGTCTTCTCCAGGAAAACACCACAAATATTCCTGGGATTTTGTTCCTATTTCACCACTGACTCGGTTGGAATAAATCATTTTGCTGTGCCTCAGCGTTTTTATTAATGTGACCTGTTTATTAATGTGTTGAAATTCCTACAAAAGAAAAAAAAATGAGGTTGTCTACCTAGCAGAAAGAAACTTTAAAAACAGTAATAACTGAGAAAAGTCTTGTCTGAATGAAATGAGAACTCTGCAGAGGTCACCTTGCTCCCTAGACCAAGCTTTTCTGTTATCCCACTGTATCTCAGCACAGATCTAAAAGATCTGACAGACAATCAGGTTCTTGTAGTTAAACAAAGCCCCGAGGAACAGCTCAGCTGAACTGATTTTGGGGTAATTCACCAAAACTCAACTTCAGCTGTGGCTGTCTCACAGCTAATTCAGTGGAGACACCTTGAATATTGGGAAGATTATGTCTAGAAAAGGCTTGGAAAACACAGAAAGAGCCACTGAGGAGAGCAGCAGGGGCTCAGGTGACACCAGCATCTCCCCCCTCTGCTGAGTTCTCCTGGCCTTCACACAGGGTAAAGGATTTGGCCGTGTTATAAGTACATATTATATTATTGGCTTTTCACAAATATTAAAATGAATGCTGTATGTATAACGCTGGAAAACTTTGCTGTATGAATATGGCTTCTTTTAGTTCTGCTATTAACAAAACTTCGAAATAGTAGTGTGATAAATATATTTTTCTTCGACTATAACGTGGTGATGTAAAAAGCTTTTGTTCATGTAACTAAATTCAGAAAATGGTAAAAAAGATAACCAGGAAATTCTTCACATTCTTGGATTATTGCACAGCAAAACCCCAGGGAAGGAATGTATTGATCCTCTGTTATCAGGGAGTACTGGCAGGATGGAGCCACAAGGAGAAATTTAAAAAATTGTTGATTTACAGGCTGGGGGGGAGGATGATTTTGAATAATGCATGAAGGTCTATGAATATGCAAAATGTTGATGCATTTAAAGAAGTGTTTTCTGAGTTAGTGTGTGCTCTTAAGCACCACTTTTGCTTTATTGTTTGTCTCTTATTGTCTTCTATTAAACCTTTTAAAATTCACCAGGAAAGTGAACCTCGTTTTTCACGGAGTTTGCTCCACTCACCCACCCCTTTGTGCAGACACCGCCTCCAAGAGGAAAACCCCCCAAAAAAAGAAGGTGAAACTTGCCTCCTGAGAGCCTCCTGGGCGCCTGGGATGGCAGAATCCTCGACGTGGAGGGTGCCATTGAGATCCACCAGCACAGCCTTCAGCGCCCGCCGCGCCGACATCGCACCCTGGACGGGCACAGGAGCCTCAGCCCCCGAGCACCCACCCGGCAGGGACAGCACCCAGGGACAGCTCCGCGGGCACCTCACTGCTCACAGCACGAAATGGGCCCTCCTGCACTGGGGGGTAAAAGGCAGGAGTTCAAAAATCGCCCCACGCAATTGATGGGGTGGTGTTTTGCTTCCTGATTGCCTCCGTGGGAATCAGGTGCTGTTTGTTCTTTTAGTGCATCAAAACGAGATAAAGTTGTCTGAATGAGGGTGCTGGGGGGTTTAGGGTCATTAGGTCTGGGATTGCTGGCTCGAGTCCTCGAAAAGAATATTTCAGCAGGTCCCACTGACACAAACTGTGAAAATAAAGACACAGTGCTCTGGCTGTAAAGCTCAAAATGCTCTGCTGAAGTGGATATTGCTGATTTTATTTTTGTAAGAGAGATCGAGGGTGATGCAGCCCACACCACAGCCACTCTGAGGCTGCTCGGTGGTGACAGTCAGGACCTTGCAGATTTTTAGCCTGCAAGCTCTCAGGGCTCATGCATATCCAGCACTCCCAAGGGTCATTCCATGCTCTTCCAAAAGGCACAGCCAGGCAGTTTTTCTGGTTCCACGGACTCAGCCAAAAACAAAAGCCAGCATTTTAAGGGTAAAGGTACCAGGGGAGGAACACAGAGGTGATGTTTGAGTCACCTGGCTACAGATCTGTCTCCAAAAACAAACACTTCCCCTCATGTGTGCTGCAAGCACTGCGTTTTGCTCTATGAACAAGTCTGAGGAGCTGTTCCTCAGAGAATGCCCAATACAGCTCCAATAAAGCAAGGTTTTCTCCTGTTCATTAGACAACAACCATCTGAAAAGGCTGAGGGAGCTAGGGTTACAGAAGAGAAGCTTTGGGGTGATCCGATTTTGGCTTTCCAGTGCCTGAGGGAGCTGACAGGAAAGGCAGAGAAAGACAATTTCCAAGGGATAGAGGGACAGCACACAGGGAATGGCTTCCAGTGCCAGAGGGCAGGGCTGGATGGGATCTTGGGAAGGAATTGCTGGCTGGGAGGGTGGGCAGGCCCTGGCACAGGGTGCCCAGAGCAGCTGTGGCTGCCCCTGGATCCCTGGCAGTGTCCAAGGCCAGGCTGGACAGGGCTTGGAGCAGCCTGGGACAGTGGAAGGTGTCCCTGCCATGGCAGGGGTGGCACTGGATGAGATTTGAGGTCCCTTCTACCCAAACCACTCTGGGATCTGCCAACCCCACAAGAGACCACAAGTTTGTGTTAGCTGGTTTGGTCACAGACATCCTGCAGCACGTTTGTACTTTAAAAAAAGCTCACAGAGTAGCCAACACCATGAATGGAACCTGCCCTAATAAATTTCTGCCAGTTGTATGTTTTCAGACAGTTCTGTAAAGGGTTATGTGAGCCTGGTGGCTCAGGTACACCCCACACACATACAGAGCACGAAACTTTGATATTACACTAACATTATTCCTGCTGGTTCTCTGCAATAAGAAAATAAATAATTATTTTTTTTTACTGTACGTCTGTTGATATGAAAGCCGAAGTTAAATGTTAATGGCAGTTAAATGTTAATGTAAACGTTAAAACCAGCTGAAAACAGAACTTCTAAGGGAGCTTCATCAATTTCAACGGAAATTACTATTGTTATTATTATTACTACTACTACTACTGTTACTGTTACTTTATTTTTACCCTACATTTTCATCGGTTTTCCTTTTCATATAGTATTTATCTGGGAAATATGGAAGTTTTCTGCAAAGTCAGTTTCCAGCACAGCCTGATTTTAAGTTAAAAAGCTCATGGACTGGCCAGAAAGTCCTAAAAGGCCTCCAGAAGCTCAGTTTCCATAATCACCTCCCCACAAGAACTCACCTTGTCAGGACAATGGGACCCCCCAGCCCCGGTCTCTGGGACAAGGACACGCGGAATACAACAAGACACAACCTAAGGGAACGAGGGATATATTCTAAAAAAATATATATGGTTATATACGTCCCTCGATGGCAGGATGCTGACGGCACAGGTGTGTGCCCTCCCGACCCACAAAACCCCCGTGTCGCGCCGATGGTACCGCCCCTTCCCGCCAGCTCGCCTGGCATACGGGCTGGCCCATTCCCTACCGGGGGAGACCCGACCGCGCCGACCTCCCCTTTCTCCGACGTGGATGGTTCCGCCCTCCCGTTCGCGGCCGAAGGCGGCGGACGCGCCCACGCGGAGGAGAGGGGGGAGCAGGGAGCGCGGCTCCCCCGGTACTGACCTGCTCCCGCCGCCGCCGCGCTCTGCCCGCCGCCCGCGGGGTCCTGTGGGAGCCGCGCCCGCCCAGCCCCGCGCCGGGCCCGCCCGCCGCCAGCGCGGAAAATAAAAAATACAACGTAGTTATTCCCGTCATAAATAAATTCCCACCTCAGCCCTCAGCGGGCCTGTCGCCGATCGGCGTCCGGCAGTCGCGACAGGCAGCTCGCGGGGCAGCCCGCAGGGCCCTGAGGGCGCGGGGCGCATCGTGACGTGGTATGGCTATAAATTGTATAAATTAAACCCGTTATACCCATTATATCCCTATTATTGTACCTGTTACAGCCTCTTCATCCTGTGTATACACTACATAATAATATCCTATGTGGATACGATCATAAATCATATAAATTATATCCCTTATATCCTATATGACATTTTTGTATCCGTGGCCATACATTATGGATATCCATAAACCATTTATCAATAATATATCAATAATCTGTAAATAATGGACATATTATGCCCTGTATTGATACTATATATAATAATGTATCCATATATCGATAGATATTTATACATATATATAAACGTTATATACAAAATACGTTATCATATCCATATGTGGTTTTCTTAAACCCATAATACATAGTATATATTTATATATAAATAGATATATATTGGAAGGAAATTATTCCCATTATATAGCTACAGTTAAATGTTTTAAGTTACATCTGCAATACGTCCATAGTGACTAATCCACTTATTATATCCATATATGAATATATATTTTTGTACCTATATTTATAATTCTACATTTGCATGTGTTTATATATTTTTGCAATATGAATTTTAATCTGAGGCGCATATATGAATTTTAGATATAGTTTTATAAACTATTACTCGGGTGTGTATGTATATATGCAATAACTTTATTTCGCATATTTCTTGTTTTTTGCGGTTTTAGCCACAGAGCTGCTCCAGACCTGCTGGAAGCCACGCGAGGGGAGAGCAGCAGCGTGGTTATTCCCCAGCTGTTCCTTCACTCCCCTCGCCCTCTCCCTGCTCCATCCTCGGCTCCTGCCCCACTTTGAATCGCTATTTTTCACCTGTCAGGTGAAACTCGTCCCAGTTTTCAGGGTTCCCGCTGCTCCTTCTGTGTGCCTGCAGCCCCTCTGGAAGCACAGCAAGGCGGAGAAAATCACTTTTCACCCGTTTTATTTTAAAGCTGCTGCTTGCAATCTTTAGTACTGGCTTTTATTTCAGTAAGAAGGAATTAAGTTTTGACAGTCAACAGATGTGGAAATGGAGTTACAGACACGCCGCGCCTCAAACCAAGTTGCTCCCAGTGCCACAGCCATGGAAACATCACCGCTTTTCTTTCCAAAAGAATTTCATAGGAATACAAAATGCTCCACACACACATTGCCTCGTTTCCACGAAAGACAGATCTGTGAAAACAACTGTGCCAAGCTGTACCCTCGCCACCTCTGACACAAAGATCATAAAGAAATTACTTCTAACAGATCCACACGTTTTAAAATTTAAAGATCCTGTTCTGCCTTCTCCCACGTCTCACTGGGTTTGCTACATGAACCAAAATACAGCTCCACAGCAGAGAGATGATATTGCCAAGTGCCACAGGGATGAGGAAAAAATTACATATTTCATATAAGAGCAGTAACTCTGGTATCTGGAACAGGATGAAGCAGAGTTTTGAGATATCCCCATTGTACACAGAGAGAAAGTGAGTTAGGAAAGAGAGTGCTTAACTTGGAAATTCAGGATTTATTTACAAAAATCACTAAGAAAAAAGGAAACATGAAACTCTCCTCCTGGATGTACTTTACTCTGCAAAAAAAACTGTGATTGAAGATCATTAAATGCATTTACATGTTTTACAGACTCTTCTTCATATACAACAGCATAGGCTTTAGTTATCAAGATGAAGGGAGAAGAGATGATCGACTAAAGTTGCTTTAAAATAACGGAACTGCCAGGTTTCCCCTGGCCTTCCCTCTTTAAAATTAAGGTAAAACAGAGGAGCAGACAAAGAATTCTAACTTCTCTAAAAAGACACGGGAGAATCACCTTTTCCAATTCAGACCTAACTCAGCAGTCTTTACTGAGACAGGACCAGTAGGACAGCAATTAGGAGCATTCTCTGCGACAGAACTGCAGCCACACACACAGCTGCACTTTCAAAGCAGTTAATTTAACAAATGATGATGATGAAGATGGGGGGGTAAGAAACAGTAACAGAAGAGGTTGCAAATTCGCGATTTTTTTACAAAGAAATGCATTTGAAAAGCGCAGGGTATTCATCTCCCCTGGTATTCTCCTTCCCCGTTTCCCAGGAAGCTCAGAATACAAATGGTTCCCCACTTCGACCACAGTAATCACCACGCAGAAGTTTAATACATATTTTAAAAAGTATAATAACAATCCTTGACAGAAGAGTAACAAATGCTAATTACTAATATCCCCAAAGTTAACACAGAGTTGCCCAGCTTTAGGTACAGCTTTTTTTTCTTAATTTTTAGATCTTTAATTTTGCACTGCAGTTGCACTCATTTGCAACTGGCTTTACCATTAGTATGAAATACTGATTTGAAGACAAAAATCCCCAGTCAAAGCAGGAAAATTCAGCTTTCAATGTTAACCTGAATCAGGACTTTACCCAGCTGGTTTTATCTCCCTCCATATCACAGCTGGACTTCAATCCTTTATAACAATTATTCTTTACAACACGTTTTCAGAGCCTAATTCATGTTCTCTTAAACAGTTCCATGGTAGTAACTGAAATGAAAACAAACACATTGTTGCTTTCCTCAATTTAAAACAAAAATTGGAGAGCGTACTGAAGGAAATTCATCCCTGAGTAACGAGGCATTTAAAAGCTGCATCCCATTGCCAGTCACTGCAACATCCTATGACATTTATTCTAATAATTAATCAACACTATGAACAGGCAGCAACAGAACTGGTCACAGTCCAATGTGTTTGCAGCGTTGTTGCATTGATCCCGTGATCCTGCTTAATGAAACTGCAAGGGAACATTAGGAAATGGGATAAATAGAAACAGTGTCTTTTATTATTTTAAGTTGAATGTCAGATTGACAGCTAAACCTTGCTGGATCCCAGGGAAATCAGAGCAGTGGTGGTCAGCAACTGGTTTCTTTGGATGTCCGAAGGATTTCTGCCAGGTGTCTTCAGCCGAACAACAGGAGGAGAACGATTGTGATGGAATTCAGGGCTATTAACGGCACTGCAGAGGGGAAAGAAAAGATAAATTGATTGTGAAAATTTTCATTTTCAAATGACACAGCTTCATATAACCTTGGGAGAACACCTTGGGAGAAGAAGCAGAACCGGTCAAAATTTTAGAAATACACTTAATTTTCCTATGTAAAGTTGGGACCAGTGGATGAAGCCAGGCTCAAATCCTAGTAGTAGTAAGCAACAGCAGAAATATTTTTCTACAGCCTGTTTTAACTTTAAGCCAGAGCCTTTAGTTCTAACTTTAACACAAATAACTCTTTCTCCAAATGAAAGTAAACCATCTAAAATTCAGTTTCTATCCTTGGCTTTACTGTGCTTTAGAATAAATGTTTTAGGTTTTACTCACTGGTAGGCAAGACAGGTCTGTCTCTGTCATCATCTACAAAATGAATTTTTGTTGTCCTTCGTAATGAAGAACTATCAGTAACTGACAAATTAAGTATATTTTTCCCCCATCTTCTGAGGCACATAAGCCTGGCTTGCCTTTCAGAAACCCTGGGACTACATTTCCCTCAAAGGTACTTCCCATAAAGTTGGATTTAGACAAGGTGATTGACAGTAACTGCACACTTTGGTTGATCACCAAGCTTCCTCCCAGCTGCCAAACTCCAAAGAGAAGGCAAAAGCTCAGCAGGAGAAACGCCACAGTCAGGGAATGTTTTTGCACTTTCACCAGAATTAGGGCACTTTAGGTGAGGCCTGTGCCCTCTCATAGAGAGTCCAGGCCCAGAGAACTATAGATTAGTGCAGAAACAAGACATTTCAGATTGTAATAATAATAATAATCACCATAATAATCACCATAATAGTAACAGAAAATATTGTGCCCTTACCTCTCATAACAGTTCGTATTGATCGAATGAGGTTTGTCAGCTGTGCTTTAATTCCTGGTTCCTCTCCAAATCCTCCAATCCCTTGATCGCTTCCCCAGCCAACTGGGTCACATAAAAACAGACACACACATTAGGGTAAAAAAACCCAAAACCACACAACAAATGCTGCAATTTCAACGAGCAATCCATCCTGAGCGTAGTTTATACTAACATAGCCCAATTAGCCTTATTTCATGAGCATATTTTAATACAACAGGCTGAAAGCTGTTAAACCTCATGTTAAGTGATGACAAATCCATGTTTCTGTAAAGAAAACCCTCACCTCTTTAATACACCACTGTTCCCTGCGTGCCCAGAGTAACACGTGAGTTCATCTGGGCTTAAAAAAAAAAAAAAACAGCTGTCAAAATAAACCGACTGCAACCTGTACATAGTCCTGAAAATAAAACAGCAAATAATTGCTGGGTGTGAAGTGATGATGCTTCAGCACTGAGAAAGGGGCCACACGAGAGAAAAACAGCCAGCACAAATTCCGAAAATCGGGGTGATGGTTTTTGCAACTGCTGTAAAAAAAAAAATTATAACTTTTGTGGAAAAAAACCAAAGGGAACTTTTCTGAACGTAACATAAGTCCTGAAGTTCTGCGATGTCCAGACACAGCATGATAGGACATGGAATGTGTCCAGGGATTTCTAACACCTGCTGGTCGCAGCCCTTGGCATTTCGGGGAGAAGCAGAGCAAGGAGCAGCTCTCAGTACCCCAAGCTCCACTGCCCAAGCCGTGCATTTCTTTCTCAAGAAACCACTTTTGAGTGATTTTTGTTCTCCCTTTCTCGTCTCCCTGGCACCAAAGTGAGGGTGGTGGGCCCCTCCCTCACAATTAATTGGGTTCACTGCCAGCTGCTGCTTCCCACTGGGATGAGCTATAGTCCCAAGTCTCACGAGGCTGAAAAAGTGGCTTCACCCATCCCGCTAGTCCCCACATCTCCCTTTCTTAATTCCAGCTGCTCGTCAGGAGAGCAAAAGAAAAGCTCAAACCCAAACTGAGCAGATCCCTTGAAGCAAATCCAACCATGGAGCAGGAGAAAGGAATCCCCTTCTGCACGGCTGCCAGAAAATCCTGGCTCAGCCTGATGTGCAGAAGTCAGGATTCTCCACACCAATGAACTGGGAAACCCTGGATCATTGGCCTTTTTTTTTTTTTTCCCCACGGTTTTGCAGATCTTTGTCGGTGGATTTTGTCTGTTTTGCAGAGCTTTGGCTTCTTTTGAAATGCAAGGATGCCCAGCCCTGGGAATCCCACGGACGGAGAGGCGCCATCTCGCCAAGAACCAGGCACGACAAGAAAAAGAAAACCTTTGCACGACACGAAATACTCTGAGGCGCGGCACGAAAGGGCGTGAAACAGTTAAAAATGGACAGGAAAAAAGGACAATTATGGGGCGGAGGGAGGAAAGAGAGAGATACAAAGGTACGACGGAAGCAGCTGGGAATTCATCCCCAAACCCACCCCGAATCTCAAAGCCCTCCCCCGCGCGGTGCTACTCCCACCGGCAGGGAGCGGCGGCGGCGGGGCCGCGGCCACCGCGTCCACCCCCCCCCCCCCCCCTCAGGCCGGGAGGCCCTCCCAGCTTACCGTGGCGGAGGAAGCGCTCCTCGTGCAGCACGGCCACGGCATTGACGATGAGGAGCGAGGCCTGCAGCAGCGAGTAGAGCGTGAACGCCATGGCCCGGCGGGGCGGAGGGGGCGGCACCGGGAGCCGCACCGGGAGCAGGAGCGGGAGCGGCGCCCGAGAGAGACGTGGCGGGGTTGGGGGCGGAACCTCCCCTCACGGGTCGGCAGGGGGCGGAGCCTCCATCTGGAGGCGGGGCTTGATGGGGCGTGGCCTCCCAGATGCTGCCTCGCATTGGCTGTGCACACAGGGGGGCGTGGCTTTACGGGGCGGGGATACATGGGGGCGTGGCTTGACGCGTACGTCCCTATGGGGCGTGGTCCTGTGGGGGCGTGGCCTCCCGGCAGAGCCGTGTCCGCCTCGCTGGGCGGGGGCACTCGGGGGCGGGGCTTTGTGGGGGGCGTGGCCGCCGGCTCCCGGCAGTCGCGCTCGGCTCTGGGTTCGCCCGCGGATCCCTCGGGACCCCGAATCCCTCGGAGCCCCTCGGGTCCGGCGGAACCCTGTGGATCCCTCGAGCCCGTGGATCTCGCAGAGCCCCGTGGATCCCTCGGTGCACCTGGGATTCCTTGGAGCCTCTTGTGCCCGTTGGATCTATGGATCCCTCTGGTCAATGGATCACTTGGATGACTGTGGATCCCTCGACTGCGTGGGTCCCTCGGAACCCCGTGGGTCCCATGGAGCCCTTTGGGTCCATTGGATCCGCGGATCCCTCGCGCCCGTGGATCTTTTGGAGCCCCGTGGAGCCCTCGAATCCGTGGATCCCTCAGAATCCCATGGGTCCCTCGGAGCTCCTCGGGTCTGTCGGGTCCGTGGATCCCTCGGGTTCATGGATCCCTCAGAGCCCCATGGTTCAACCAGAACCCCTTGGGTCCGTCGGATCTATGAATGCCTTCGGTCCATGGATCCCTTGGAACCCCGTGGATCCCTCGGGTCCGTTGGTCGTTCAGAGACCTTTGGATCCCTTGGGTCCATTGATCCGTCAGAGCCTCTTGGGTTCATTGAGCCCATGGATCCCTCGCGTCCATGGAACCCGTGGAGCCCTGTGGGTCCCTCGGGTCCACGGATCCGTCGGATCCCCATGGGCTCCTAGGAGCCCCTTGGGTCCACTGGATCCATGGATCCCTCGGGTCCATGGATCCCTTGGAGCCCCGTGGTTTTCTCAGGTCCGTGGGTCCTTCGGAGCCCCGTGGATTTCTCAGGTCCGTGGATCTCTCGGAGCCCCATGGGCCTCACAGCGCAGGCTGTGACATGGGAAGCTCTGCTCTCCTCGTAGCAAGTGCCCTTTGGATTCGGAGCGGGAATAAGGCTCATCCTCATCCTCCTCCGCCGGTAGCGTGGCGTCTCCCGGTGGTGGGAGCTGGCAGGGACGCCTCGCCCGGCGTGGGGCAGCCCCCGTGGCCATCCGTCATCAGCGACCCAGTACTAGTAGAACTAATAAAAAAACATAAACACTGCATATACAGTGAAAAAAATACATGAGTTTATACTTATATTGAGTCTTGCGGACAGCGGGGTTTTTTCCGTGTGTTTCCTCAATACACTGGTTTTCCTTCTATCCCGACTGAGGTTTCTAGCAGGAAGTCAGCCCAGATCCCAGATGCTGTTTGTCCAGCATGTAATTCTGCAGAATCTAAAGCCGAATCCAAAGGAAAACAATTACGTCTTATACTGGATTGATCAGGGTTTCTGGGCGGTTCTGAAGTCAAGTAACAAAATAATCACAACTGGAACTCAGCGATACTGTATCCCTGCTACAGCTACTGTAGTTATACAGTTATCCCTGTATTGTAGTTACACAGGTATCCCAGTCTAGTTATTGATGCACAAATAGACTTTTTTTTTTCCCTTTACCTCTTTCAGTCCAATTGGCTGAAGGGGGTGATTTGCATAACCCCCCTGATTTTATTTCCCAGTAACCACACAGTACACAAGCCCCTTAATCTGGATGGTTGGTAGCTTTTATTACTCAACCCGAGCACAGTGATTTGCATAATCGCTGTATGGTGATGGTTATTATCCACTGCAATAGAGGTGATGATTTTGTGCTCAGTGTGGTGGACTGGAGAGACCCCATCTCGATTCCCTGCCCTGCCACAGACTTGTGGCACAGTCTGGACAAATTATTCACCACTTAACAATATTGCCTCCCCATGCTCTGTGTGAAGATCCCCTCACCAGCAAGTGATGATCTGATACTTCAATTAATTAAGTGTCAGGAGTATATAATCACTAGATGCTCAGACACCTCGTGAATCAGCTGTGAAGAAACCCACACCTCAGCTTCTCCTTGTGTTCGCCTTTCCTTTTCAGAAAACCCACTTTGGTACAGTCAGTGTCACAGTATTGTTCATCTTAATAACCATTACTATTAAATAACATTACATCTTGATACTGGAATAAAAATAAAGCACCCTGCCATCGGAACCACAGCCTATTTTCTTTATAATTTACTCCCAAAATTACTACTATTATACAAGGGAGATAGAGAATCAAGCATATTCAACAGAGTTCTGTCATCTGGTCGAAAGCATTTGTCATTTCAGCCTCAAAAAGGAATATAGTCTCAATCCAGACTAGTGACTAAAACGTCTATTGCATTGAGTGAGCTCAATATTTTTGAAGCCTGTGCTGAAGTGTTTACTTACGTGAAAACTCATTGTTTTTCTCAAACACTGTCTTTGGCTCTGAAAACTCTCATGTGTATGATTAACGTTGTAAGTCAGCAGTCAGTGGGAACACTCAAGTGTAGTGGCACATGTGAACTCACACTTGCAGGCTCGGGAGTCCCAACACAGCTTCTTTTTTTTCTCATCTAGGTCTTTAAATTTGCTATGACTGCAAAACTCTTAAAGTCCACCATTTTAACAATTTTAAATGGAGCCATTTCTAATTGCCCAGGGCCTCTCCCCCCAAAAAATTTAGGGGAGTTTGTAATTCAAAAAATCCTTTTCCTTCTGTAAACAGCAACAACAACAACAAACCTTGAGTTTACCAAACTCCATACAGGCAGAGAAAGACAATATTGACCTGAAAAATTTAATCTGGAAGGTCACTACTAATTTTTAAGAAGTTCTGAGTGGTGACATATGATGGTCTTGCAAACAGAGCTATCTTTTGTACTCAGATATAACTTAGGGCGTTCTGACAGTGATTCTATAATTAAATACAGATGAATATGGGGGTCACTAACATAGATATCTAATAACCACCATTATCAAGTAGCATTTCCTGGGCTACCTCCTTATGGTATCCAACCTATAAATAAATAAATGCTAATCTCAGTGAAAAGCTAATGCTTAGAGTTATGGCCCTGAAAAAAACCCCAAGGTTTTTGTTATAAGTATACAAGTTATGGCTTAGTAATTTTACCCATAATTAAGATGTATTTCCAAAGAGTAGCTGCCATCAAGCTGACATAAACTTGACATGATTTTCCCCTTAGTGAAATCCATCATGGCAACTTAGCAGCCACAGGAGTCTTATCTCTGAATCATGTTACGTGGTTGAAGGGAAAACCAGATAAAGTTGCTTGCATTAGAAGGAAAGGGGTTTGTTTGGTTTTTTTTTTCTTCATTAAGGTGTTGTGTTTCAGTACGGTAAATTCTCGTGGTGTCATCTGTAGGGTGCAGTCAATCACCATAAAGGAGAGTTTTAAACCACCTTACAGATGTCAGAGGGTTAAACTTCAGGCTGGTGAAGTATTGTGAAGGCACTGGTGTTTTTAACATTCTGTTTCTCGTTCGATATTTTCAGAGCACATCTCATTAAATGTAGGGGTCTCACTGACCCCTACATTTAATGAGAACCAAGCTTGTTGTGTGGGAGTTTTGGGGTTAACTGAGTTTAATCCTGATGAGAAAATACCAGGGCAAAGGAACACCTATTATGACTTCAGCCTCTATACCCTTCACCTCGCTTGCCACCACCATCTTCTGATTCTATTTTCTGAACTAGCTTTAACCATTTCCTTCTTTAGACATTGTACATACTCAGATATACACTTATCAGTGAGAAACTTTTAGGGACACAGAAAAGTCTGGAAATAATGCCAAGCTGGAAATGAAGAAATTACTTTTGTTGGTGGCAGCCTTTTTACCGACTCCTACCATAAGTAACTTCATTAACTGAAAAACTTTGTGTATGGGGGAAAAATTAGGTTCTGCGTCTCAGCAAGGTGCTATAAATAAATCCAATAGCTAAATTTCACAGTTAGACTAAAGCCTTTGTCATCCCTTACTCATCACACCTATAGCACTGTTGAAGAGCTGTAAAGTTAATGGTGCATCCGACTGATGTAACACGTCCCTGGTAAGCACAAATTGAGTGACTGGTTTAATGTCCAGACAGGGCTTTTTTTTTTAAAACCACCAGAACTGGAAATGCAATAAGATTCTGTACATTTGGGAGAACGTGTGTCTGGTCCTTACCTGTCGGCAGCTGCATACAGGAAAGATCCTTGCCTTATCCATGACTCATGGGTCACCTCTGCCCTTGCTCTTTTGAGAAGTGAGCAGCCATCCCTCCAAAAACACAGCCTGACAGCCTTCCTGAGATTTGAGAGGACATTAATAGGGCTTCATACACAAAAGGACTGCCTGGGGATTGAGGAACAAAATGAAAAACCATACACAGTTTTTGATTTACACCTAAATTTATCAATGCTGTTTTCCTAAGTTACTTGACTCTGTAACCATAACAGCCTTTAAATGTAATTTGTTGCCTGGTACTCTCTGTCTCACAGACACAGAAACAGACAGAGACACACACATGCTGTTGCTCATCTTGCTACCACCAAGAGTACAGAATGGTCATACAATCAGGGAACAGTTTGAGCTGGAAGGGAGCTCGAAGATATCTCTGTGACATGACATTGTTCTATTATTATTGGCACTGTTTGTGCTGCATTTGCACTGGAGTACACCAGTCCAGAACCAAATCCTGTCATGTTCAGTACCGTGCAGATATTTTTCAGAGGCAGGCATAGGAATTTTCCAGTCCATGTCTCAGCTGGAAGACAATGGATATCGAAAGCAGGGCAACGCGAGGAGTGGGGCAGCAAGGAAACAAATGGATTTTTTCAGGGAATTAAAAGTCTCTGCCTAGCCCTGCCTCACTGCTGACAGG